GGTAAGACGTCATCAAGGAAATCTGCTCAATCTTATGCTGTTTCTAAGAGTGACGCCAATTTTACCTAACTGGTTCATAAATATCGCCTCAGCATGTATCGGTGTGCCTTTTTATCCTTTCTTCGTTGGAACTTTCCTTGGTAGCTACCTTCACCGTTAAATTATTTTTTGATAAGTTTTTAGTTTGCGAATTTTTAGGAGTGGCTCCTCCATCGATGCTGGCCATTCAAGCGGGTACCGCGCTGAATGATCTCACTACCATTGGGAGCATTTTCACGTTTAAGTCTGTGACTCTGCTAGTTCTCTGTGCTAGTGTGCCTCTCTTGACCATTATTGTGAAACGGAACCTAAAACCTGTTGGCATGTAATTGATAATAGACGCCGGCTTCGACTTCGTATATTTCGAAACTTCACCTTCAATAGGGCTTTCCAAAATTATGGCACTTATAACTCTGTACTTTGTTCTGATGTTTGAGCTTTCTGTTTGCTCCTCTGCATTCAGCTCCTGATTTGTTTTGTGCCTTGCTGGCCAGTGGCTTCTGTTCATTATAATTTTAAAGAAAAGTGTAAAGTGACTCAATATGATTGAGACTTGGTCTTATCTACAAATGGTCATCTGTTGGCCGTGGACAAGCGTTTACATTTTAAAAGTGTTTATCCGTAGCAGAATATTAAGTTTAGTCCCATGAACATTCATGCAATGTTACATTTTATTTTGAAACTTATTCAGATAAAGAGTGGCCTTTTTATTAGGATTTCGTGTTTTTATACAGAAGGCTGAGCGTCTATCAAGCTGACATGAAGGCGACTGTTCAGGTATCTGTGCCTGGTGAATCACACAGTTTTCGTTTTTTTTTGCTCTACCTTTCTTAATTCATTTATTTTCTGTACATTTTCTCATTAATTCATTGCGTTCAGTATTTCTTGTTCTTTTTTACATATCATTGTAAACCACCTATCTCGAGCTGGAGAAGCAAATGTTGTCTTTTACGTTGTACAACGCTTTAACCAAATGCAGAGGTGAGTGTTCAGACTGTTAAACTTCCAGTGCTTTACAATAATTGCAAATTGTTTGAACAAGACTCAAGAGCAATTACATGCCGAATGACATGTTCTAACTTTTAGATAAAACTTGTTTGGAAATTTTCCTTGATAGCCGGAATTGTTCGATGCTTTTCTTGATTATAAACATTAAATAAATCTTACGTGAGGTGTAAAATAAAAAAACGAAGAAATGAAGTTTTACAAGTCGTTTTATGTAAAATATTAATAAAGGTTTCTGTTTGGTGCGCAGACTATAATTGATTGCAATTTCAGTTGCCTATAAATTTAAGCTATTGGCTGTTTAACGTTGTGCTCTTTTGGCTGTTGCAATGTAAAACTTGGTTAGAATCCTGGTTTGTAAACTCAAAGTTTTAGCAAGATCTTGCATGTCTTTGAAAAAGCGACCGATACAAGTTGCATTCCATTTATTTTTTGCATTCGCAGCATTCTCATGAAAGCGCAGTAAACGTTTCCAACGATTTATCGACTTATCTTAGGGTAGCACGTGGTTATAGCATCTTTCCTGAAAATGATATTGCTGCGGCGGAGGCCTTAGGTGAGAGTCGAAGTTTCTGCTCTACTTTTGAGGAGTGTAGCAGACAATGGCAGTACGACATGCAATGCGATTAAAGCAATATTTACCGCGTGGAAAACAAGTGAGAAAAGATTGATCTTGAAGGATATTACGGGGGAACATACAGCTAAACTAAGTAAGAAAATTGCCAGTAAAGTTATCTGTTGCATTAAATTCGAAAAGCAGAAAAAGGCACGAACTTGATATTAAGAAAAGTTTTTCATTTCAAAACCGCTTTCAGATATATTGCGTTTAACCTTATAGGCAAATGACTTGCCACCTTGAAATGCAGGATCATTGTGGTACCTTGCTCGCGATTCAGTGGTAGTTGCCTACTTCCTGAATCCGAAGTAAATTATCGAAAAAAATATAAATAAATTAGAGTGACTCTATTTTGGTTCAGTATTCTGTTACCAGTTCAATCTTTTGAGAGCATGACAATGAAACTTTAATTCCATAGTAGCTGAAGTTTCAAATGCACAGTAGCGACTTCTTACAAATGGAATGTTAGCAACTAATATCACAGTGTATGTCGCTTCAACAAGCTGATAATGTTGGTCTTAAGCATCATGCGTCGATAAATTGATAGTACTTAAGTCTCAGTATACGCTGTAATATTTGTTAGTTTTCAGTGCTTAAAAAGTTTGTAGCTGAAATTATTAATCAAATTAATAAAGGTTTCGTAACACCAGTTTTTACTTTCTGCTGATGCAATCAAATCCGAAACTATGAAGGCTGTAATTAATTAATGTCTGCAAAGCTTCGAAAATTAAGGTCAGTTCGTAGGTCTGTTTGAAACAAGTCTTAATACTTGTACAGTATCTTCCACTCTGCCTGTCATTTTTTTGCATTTTTGTTTCGTACGTTGAAACGAATTTCAAATTTGTAAGTTAACTTAATACTTTCAGTAGCTCATAATACCTAACCTACCTTAATACCCTTAATAACTAACTATATACCTTCTCAAAGTGACACCATAAACCTGAATCCGTATAACTCTCCAAACAGGACAAATATGCACAGTTTATCAAACCTATGAATGAGTTTGAAATTCAAAATTGTCGAGGATATTACTTTACACCATACAGTGATGATGCTTTCAATCCGCTTTGAATCATTTGACAATGAATGAAAATGTGTAAATATTGCGTTTGCGTTAAGTTGGATCGAGCGTGATCCAAAACGCCGGAGAATATGTACGGCATCAATTCGATATGGGGTGTCATCTCTGAAATGCGTGAAATATGTATTTATTATTTGAAATTCTCAGAACCCTAACTTCATGTCGTACAGTAACCTTCCATTCGCAAAGCTTACATCCTAGTCCATATACAAGCTCAGGTATAGAAACGCAGACCCCCGAAAGACCGTGGGCTTGATTAAAGGAAGGATGCCGCCTATAATTAATGCAAAGATCATAAAACTGAATCTGATGTTACAGCGACTTGAATGTTGTCTTTTCCATCGCGCGAATCTCTTCAACAATCGTCATTATTGAAGTTTATTCGATGCGGTAATTCTTGTTATGTACTTGCGAATCCAATCTCAATTGTTTCTGTCAGGTTGCGTGCGTATTCGAACACCATGCTTACGAATAAATTGGCGTTCAAAGAATGAAGGAGGGGGAGGAACGCGATGCCGGAACGTCTGCAGGAAACAGATTTTTGGGAGCTAGAAGAAGCTTTGTGGTTTTAAATTTTCCTGGAGTTGTAGAAAATGTTGACATAGCCGTCGAATCCCTTGGTGGACTGAATAAATTGACATCGGTATGTGATTTCCATTGTTTTCGGATTGTTGTTTGTTGATGATTGTTTTTTTCTAATGCAGGACCACTTTCACTTCAATGCTTTGGAACTGGCCTATCACCGACAGCAAAATCCGTACAGCCGTTCGACGCCCAGCCGCAAGGCCAGCAATAATTTCATGATGCTTCACGTTAGGCGTCCGAGGAAACACAATCAGGAAGCGTTGGGCGATGACGATACAAATGGCGACATCGATCTCACTGGTCTAAAAATTGTCTCTGCTTCACCAGTAACGGTCTACGACTTTTCGTCGGTATTTGATTTCCAGTATCTGCCGATGAGCGGAAACGCGACAACCGGCTTCTCTTCAGTGCTGGATGACTTGGTTCCAAAAGATATCGAGTCGGCTATGCGATGGTTCGACCCTCCAGCAGAGAGTCACCATCCGGATCTATTCCTCACTCCTTACGCATTCACTAGATCGTTTACATCCAACCCGTACCCGAGCGTCATGTGTAAAGAACCGGAACGATCGCCGGCGGTTCGTGCACTGGTCGACAAGCAAAAGGTCGGCGTCAGTAAGTGTTTGGTCAACTGATTTTCAAGTCGGTAGTTAATGACTTAGGTTAATGGTCTTTGCTTCCCGGTCGATGGTTCAAGACAATAATTAATGTCCTCGCCTTCAACAGTCAATCCCGAAGCAAAGGCCACTACCTGATATTCAAACAGGCAACGAATCGATACCCTCCAGTCAATGAGTCAGTCAGTTACAATCCTTTTGAGTCACCGAGACAAACGCATCACACAGTATCTTCAGTGTTCCCCACCTTCTGCCATCCTTTGAGCTTTGTCAGATAAGCCAAATATGGAGCAGAGTCCTTCTTGACACTTGCTCCATGTTATTTTTCAGCCGGTTGACTGGGAAGCTAAAAGTTGCTTCGTCTTCCTTTCTGGAAGCGTTCGATTGGACTTATCCAACGCATTGCAGCTGAACCTTCTCAGTTTGGAGAAAGAGAATCTGTACTCCATAGTTCTGTTGAATATCTTGACTAGGGAGACCATGTCGATACGCGTGAGCCCAGCAATTCGTTTTAGAAAGCTTATTTCAGCGGCTTATCCCGGAATGGAATTTTTTCAGTCATGACCTACAACTCGTGGTCGTATGTGAGCATGGGGATGAAGACCGACTTGGACTTAGGGAATTCAGTCTTCAGGCTTAGTCAGACACTTTGGTCACAGCTGTTCTGGCTAGTTCTCGCAAAGCGCCACTTACTATTCCAATCAGCTGGTCAGTCTCTTCCTCCCATTTTCCGACATCGGTAAACACAAACCCCAAGTAAACAGGTACTTGATCTTTTCCACATGCTCCTGGGCTTCTCCGTTTATCTGCAGAGCTCAAGGGTCGGGAATACTAGAAAACGGTTTCCTTGTGTTGTAGACATGTTTTATTGCCACGTTGCAGTTCATTGTGAACCTTTCAAGAGAGCGCGGAGATCAATGTCAGAACAAGACAGCGACTTATGTAATTTGTGTTTGTTGAGATCATCACCTTTAGCCGTTTGCATTAGCACAGTGTCTCTGGTTTGTGATGTCCACAGTCGCAGCTTGACGGCTATTTTGCTGCATGGCACCGGTTACTGTGTGGTATAAGGAATTATTACCCAAAACATATATCTACCTCTATATCGTTCATCCCTGTTTCATGCCGTTCTTCGGTCGACGTTCGCCACATTTCTGCTCCCATACGGCGAACTGGTTGACCGAAGTAAATGGGTTATGTTCAGCCAGTTGGCTAATTAATTACAGATTTGCTGCTAATTACGTACTTACTACTATCTTCGTAGTAGGAAATGAGAATAACAAATTTCACTAACCAAGATCTGACTTTACCCCACTGCTGTCAGATGTATTTTGCTATACTGACTGAAGATTACGACCATCACTAAAGTGCACCATCGTTTACCAACAAAAACAGCTCTGGGTATGGCACATTCTGAAGTAAAATGATACGACTGTGTAAGTTACGGTCTTGTTCTTGCATGGGGTGACTTCAAAGATATATCTAAGAGCTCTGAGACAGTAGTTGCTATGGGTTGATGATGTGCAAGGAAGTGACCAGACCTCATTATTTCGGCAGCTACTCATGTGCCACCCGAAATATGACCGAGTAACGACCTACTATGTGCGCCTAACGGAAACAAAACAAAGGTCTGATGTCGATGAGAAATTTTTCTTTGATCGACTGGAATCGCTCGGCAATATGATGTCATCGGCATAATTTAGTTCCGTGAGTGTATGGCTGAATACCAGCGACTTCTTCGATTCTTCATTTAGATTCTAAACTTTGTTTCATTACCCAGACGACGACAAGACCGAAGCGTTGACGAAAGGACACGTCACCTTTTTTCAAGAGGATCAGTGCTGAATGCTGATACTGTGATAATTGATTCGCAGTCTGCCCCGTCCTGATATAAGTATATTAACATATCGTAGTCTATTTGATGTTTTGTGCATAGGTTGAGTGGTGGCAGAGTGCTTACGAGGTTTGCTTCAAAAGCCAGAAGTGCATGTTCGAGGGCAATCTTTGCTTTATGCAGGAATTCCGTTGAGCAACGAATTTACCCCACGTGGCTTCATACCGGGGTTTTGCACTCGGTTCATCGTTGAACTCAGAAATAAAAGGTCCTCAATTCGAGCCCTGGTCGAGATAACTTGCCTTCTGAGGTTGATAAGTATCACTCTGTGGGAAGGAAGGGAATAGGAGACTATGCACTAAGCTTGCAACATAGTTTTGGACTTTGCTTTAAAATAAGACACTCTTGGCTGATGACACAGAAACGAAAATCCACACCACATTATCAGTTTCATGAAAAGAGCCGTATTATCATGAAAGTGAAAGGAAGGCCGACATTCCAACAGTGGCAAAAATTTCTTTCCGTTTTCTTTGTAACAGAGATTACGATTGGCCGTCATTCACCTTCTAGCCTCTGAGTTGGCCTTGGTTAACCAACTGTGCATAAATGCCAATTGTGCTCTTGCCTAATTGGCCACTGTTAGCCAGTTGTGCTTAATAAATATCTGGAATTTCGGATTAACTGTTGTGCATAGGGCCACACGACTCTCGCAAGTATAGAGCATTGAATGCAATCGCAAAATGATCTTTTGGTATTTCTCGGTGAACTGCTTCTGTATTACGCATCGGACGGCGTTCACTGTCGAAGGAGTGAGACCCAGATGTTGAGATATTTCGGAGCTGTAGCATTCTGAAGCATTGTGTGAGTTTCTGAGATGGCGGAATTACTCCACGTTCCCTTATCTCGCTGAATGTATACTTGAACTCTGTCTAAAGCCAACGAATGTGCAGAAGATCCTACAGTAAATGATTGATGATTGGTGAAAGATTTAAAGAAGTCGACGGAAAAATATGCCATTCTCTGCGCTGTTTTGTTGGCAAAGAAGTTAATGGAATATCCACCAAAACAATGTTGTCCGCTTTTCCTGTCGTTATCATGTTCCCCTGAAACGGGATATAACTCTTGTTATTGTCATTGTCTCACATGTAAAACTTTATATTATTTAATTACTGCCTGTTTACAGGGGTAAGAGCTGGAAGGAAAGTGGCAAATATCTGTTATGCTGCCAGCGCGCAGTTCCCCACTCATCCGACTCCGGAATTCATCCACGACGCTGATACAAAGTACCCATCGCCTGAAGCGCAACGTGCTTTGGAAGAAGTAAGTCTCGCGTGGTTGCTTCGAACTGACCATACAGTTTTGACTTTCGGTGTTCAATGAACGACCCATGTGCTCAAGAAACCGACTGATGTTCCTGACGAAAATTGAACCTCATATGATGAGGTAAATATTTTCTTTTTCATGTGTAGACCAATGTAAAACGTAAATTCACACCATTGAATCCCATGTCCACTGCTTTGGTGAGACAAGCCACGTGTT